CGAAGTTCAGAGCAGCCTAATTGAGCATTTTTGATGGTGTAATCTTGTAAGCTTTATACTTATGATAGGCCTCTTCACACTCAGTATTTAGAAAGCGAGCGCTGTTATGGCTAGAGGAAGATGAACTTCCAGCTGCCAAACGATCCCTCTTGCTGGAACTCAATATGATCAGGAAGGCAAGTATAAGAAGAGATGTGAGGGAAGAGTTTGGAGTGAAGAGATCTGCCAAGCAAGGCAATTTATAGAATTTTCCCAACATCGTATAGTACAATCGTGTTTCATACAGTACGATTGGTAATAAATGTTCTAACAAGAGTTTCAGGAAAAGGTGGTCAACTCGTACAGTACCATGGGTATCGTACAGTACAATCAGAAGAATTTCGATCATCCCGAGGGTCATCAGCATGAATTTTAATGAAAAGTTTCATACTGTATGAACAAGTGTATCATATAGTATGAATGACAATTATATCGTACCAAACATCATTAATTCATTCTCATTCGTCTTGCTGAGGTGGATCATATAGTACGAAGTGGAGGTATTGTACAGTATGAACACCAATAATATCATACCAAACTGAGTTAAGTCGTCCCAATCCATTCATTGATGTTGATCATACAATATGAAGAGGAGGTATCATACCGTATGATAAGCAATAATGTCATTCCAGACGGATTGAATTCCAGCCAGCTGTATCGTATAGTATGATGGAGATCGTATAGTATGATCATCAGAGGCAAAATTTGCATATGGGTTGTATTTTGTGTAAATTTAGATATATTATACAATACGATATAAGATCGTACAGTACGATAATGAAATGTCAAAAAAAAAATTTATGGTTTGGCGTAGTGAGTGTGTGATGATCAGGAACAACCTTACAAGAGATTTTTTTATGCATTAATATTTCTGACACCGAGTCTAATCCTCAAGGTGTTAAAGGTGTTGAATGCTAGTGGTTTTATGAATATATCAGCCAATTGATCTCCTATAGCGATGTGATGCAATTCTATACCTCCCGTAGCAACGTAATCTCTTATGAAATGGAGTCTAATATCTATGTTTTTCATTTGAGAGTACTGAATTGGGTTCTTAGAGATGCAAATTGTACTTGTGCTGTAACACATGATTGAGATGATTCCTACAGGTAGGCTAAGATCAAGAATTTGTTGTTTTAACCATAGTACTTATGCAATGCAACTTCCTACTGCAATATATTCTGCCTCGGCCGTGGAAAGGGCTACTGAGTTTTGCTTCCTACTGGACCAAGAAACTAATGATTATCCTATGAATTGGTAGGTACCTGAGGTAATTTTTCTATCTATCCTACATCCTGCAAATTAGAATCTGAGTACCCTAAGATTTCAATGGAAGTGCTGTGCCTAGGATACCAAATTGCTAAGTTTGGGGTGCCTAGTAGATATCTAAGAATTCTCTTGACCGCAGTTAAGTGAGACTCTTTAGGATCGACTTGAAAACAGCCACAGAGTCAAACACTAAACATTTTTTTCTGATCTGCTAGCAGTCAGGTAAAGAAGGGATTCAATCATTCCTCTATATTTTTTCTGATCTACTAATTTTCCACTATGATCTTTATCTAATTGAATTATTGAGCTCATTGGAGTGTTCATGGGTTTAGCACTATCCATTTCGTATTTTTTCAAAATATCCTTAATATACTTTGTTTGGCTAAAAAAAGTTTTGTTATCCATTTATTTTACACTAAAGCCAAGAAAGTAATTAAGTTCTCCCATCATGCTCATTTCAAACTCATTCTCATTATTTTTGAGAATTCATCACACAAGTTTTTATCTGAAGATCCAAATAAGATGTCATCCACATAAATTTGAACAATGAGAATTTCTTCTTTAATTTTTTGTAGAAAGTGTGTAGTGTCTACACTACCTTTACAAATCCTCTATCCAGCAAAAATGAGTTAAGTCTTTCATACCAGGCTCTAAGTGCTTGCTTTAATCCATAAAGTGTCTTTTTTAATTTGAATACGTGATTTGGAAATTGTGAACTTTCAAATCTTAGGGGTTGCTCAACATAGACATCTTCCTTAATTACCCCATTCAAAAAAGCACTCTTTACATCCATTTAATATAGTTTAAAGTTATTGAAACAAGCAAAAGCTAAGAGCACTCTTATGGCTTCTAGTCTAGCAACCGGGGCAAAGGTTTCTTCAAAGTCTAT